TCTGAGGCGTCTCCTCCCCAGCTCAGCAGCCCCAGGGCTCTCAGCCTGTCCTAGCACAGAGATGCTCCAGCCCCTCAGCAGCTCTGCAGCCTCTGCTGGACTCTCTCCAGTAGCTCCTTGTCTCTCTGGAACTGGGGAGCCCAGACCTGGCCCCAGAACTCCAGAGGTGGCCTCAGTGGGGCAGAGCAGAGGGGCAGGAGAACCTCCCTTGACCTGCTGCCCACACTCTTCTGAATGCACCCCAGGAGACCCCTGGTCTTCTTGGTGACAAGGGCACATTGCTGGCTCCTGGTTAACGTGCTGTCCAAGGCCCTTCTCCACGGAGCTGAATGCCAGAGTGTTATTTCCCTGGAGCAAGGTGGCTTTGGGAGCCACACCCCACCACACTCCTGGGGTCAACCATCAGTTTGGGCTCCTCTCTGATGGAAAGGGTCCTTGCCATCTGTGGTGGTGACATCTGAGCTGCCTTTACAACCCACTGTGTTTAGATCATGACACTTCCACGCTGCAGGGAGGACACGGGAGGTGACACACCGTGTGAGAGCCACAGGACAAGGAGAGCAGCAGCAACTGGTGCTTTGGAAGCTGGCTACCATCAGGTGAAGTGCAGCTCTGAAGGACATCCAGAACGAGTCCTCAGTACATTGGACTGATCAGTTGAGACATTTTCTAAAGCCTTAAAGACTAGGAAGCAAAATCGGTATGAAAGATGGAAAGGATAAATCCTTTCCTGGTGGGCAACCCTCCCCTCTGATGTCTACCCCCACTCCTCCAAGAGCTCCTCAGGTCCCTTTCTCCTGAGCTCCAGCACTTGAAGGGACACTGTGGCCACATCCACAGATTCTGAGCTGTTTCCCCTGCACTGTAAGCAAGTGCTTTGGGAAACCAGCAACAGGAGCAACGTGCTACCCTCACCACTTCAGAGCATCTTCTCCTGCCAAGCAGCTCAGGATGAGCCCCATGATCCAAATTGCTCCTACAAGGGACTACCCAAGATGCTGAGCTGCCGTGTGTAACCATAACCTGGAAGAAAACTCCTACTAGGATTAATTTTTAAAAGATGCAGTTTCAAGTAGATTTTCACAGGCGAAGGGAAAAGATGGGAACTCAGGCAGTATGTTCCCAAATTTGAAGCCTTTATGCCTAAGACCAGTAACAGCGTAACCCCTCCAAGAGCAGCTGCCAGGACGCAGCATCTAAAGAGATCACCTCTCAACTTCAAAATGTCTAAACCATTTCTTGCTGAAAATTCCCCAAATTCCCAATGGAAATGTGCCAGCATTGAAGTTCCAAGTTCAAAGGGTTTGGACAAATAATACAAACTGAAACAAAGCATCTGAGTTAGAAGGTTTAGGCATCCTCAGCATAGGTGTCACCACCAGCCTCCTGCTCAGCTCTCCTCCCCACCAGCACAGAGCTGCCCAGAACGTTCCATGGTTTTATCACAGGGGCAGTTATGGGTCATTAACTACCACAGAGAAGCAGAGGTGGCTGTGTAACCCTGCCCTCCTGACGGGGCTGCAGCACTGCCACTGAGGCAGCTGCAAACTGCTTCCTGTGCCCAGAAAGGACCTTAGGTGAGACCCCTGTGACCCAAGGAAGCTGCTCCCCAAGCCCAGGGGGAGCAAAGCTCTCAAGTCCCATTATGGGTCACCTGGTGATTGAACTCTCAGGCTCAAGGTTTTGCTGCTGGAGCCACTTTCCTTTCCCATCAAGCACCTTCTGAGAGGCAGGACAGAGGGACCCGACGCTTGCCGTGAGGCACATGGTGACTTCCAGCTAATCCCATTTAATGAGGAGTCCCCAGAGTGCCTCTCAGGCAAGAGGTCAGCTAATCCCATTCACCAGCAGGGTTTTTTTACTCTTAGAAAATGGAAAGTGGCTCAAATCAAGAGTATTTCCTTTTTTTTTTTGATTTACAGATATTGCTTTGAAGAGGAAACCATGACGTTTGGTTATCTGGCAAATGAAACGTGAGCTGTTCCTGTGCATTACCATTAAACCAGTAACTTTAATAGATGTTGGAGAAAAAGGGTTTTTAGACCATCTCTCCCATTTAACCAGCTGTGCTGAGATTTGTCATTTGAAGTAGTTAAAAAAAAATGCAAATATTGTATTAAGTGAAGATTAAACAGCATGTAAGAGTATTTAACTGCCACTCTTTTACAGACAGTGATTAGATAAAAACTAAATCTTTTTATAGACAAAAATGTCAGTTAAATCAGAACAAGGAATTGAAAATCACTGGCTCCTACCCTTCCATGAAAGGCACAAGTTTCAGCCTGGTGGCCACACAACATCCTCCCTCCCACTTGTGCCCCCACCCTGCTGCGCCGGGCACGGGTGAAAGGGCTGGCACTCCTGGGCACGTCCCAGCAGAGGTGTCCTGCAAACCAGCAGTGCTGGACACAGGGTCTGGAGGGTAACCAAGCACCTCACAGCTCTTCCCAAGACCAAAGCCTCGCCAAGGCACCCAGCAGCTTCAGCCCTCTGGAGGAGAGTCCCCCGTGCTCCAGACACCCCAGACATGAAAGGACTCTGGCTGCTTCACAGGATTCTCGAAACAAAGTGTGCTACCTTCCAACACCCATCGTCTCCAGAGCCCTCAAGGGCAGCTCCCTTGGAAATTAAACCCTATTCAAGTAAATGCAAAACCAGTGAATGTTTTCAGTTGCTTTTCAGCACTGAATTTCTCAAAACAAGTGATGTTGGTGCTGAGAATTCACTTCAAACGAATTTAGCACCTCCCTCCAGCAGCACAGACAGCAGGGAACTTCACACAGCAGTGGTGAGAAGTGGCTACCCCAGCACACTCCCCTTGAATTCAGGAAAAAACAGACTTCACTTAATTCTTTGGCATAAAGGTGACCATTGCTACCTCAGCTGTGGCTGCAGGAAGCTCAGTGCAGGATAACACTGAACCTGTTCAGCTCACCAACCAAACAGCTTTTGCACATTGATTTACATGTTTTTCAGACAGTTTTCAGGAAACAGAGATGACATTTTACGGCTCAAGAGATAAATCATCTACTGACATTGGGGGCAGGGGGAGCAGCTAGAGACATGAATAGCTGTATCTTAATTTTCCACCTTCAGTGTGACTGTAAGAAGCATTCAGGAGACTTTGTGACACACCCAAAATGCATCTTCAGTGGTATCTGTCCCCAAACAGCCACACTCTACCAAACGTATCCAGAGAGGGCAGAAGGGGCAAGCAAAGTCTTGTAGCTAAAACCCATGTTCCAAAGTTGCCAGGAAAAGATGTTGCTCTTGTATCCTGGTAATCATCCCAGTAATGCAGTGAAGTGACACAAATAAAGGTCAAGCCTGGCACCAGTGTGACTCCAGGGAAGGTTCTGGTTTGGCACACTCGACTGAGTTCTCCACACAACCCATATCCCCAGGACTGACCTCTTGAAGTGGCTGGCCAGGACTCCCACCAGCTCCCCAATCCTGCTGTCGTTGGAAGGCTCCTTACTGAAGAGACACACGATGAGATCCTTGTTGTCTTTGGTGTGGAAGACCACGAGCTGGTCCTTCCCGTTGGAGACGCTCAATCCTACCAGCTGGGAAGAGAAAGCAAGAGCCCTGTCATGGGTATTTATGCACCTCTGCCACTCGCCAGGCTGGCTCTTTCCTCTGCAGGATGCCACGCTCGCTCCCAGCTCCACCTCCACCAGAGAACTCAGGGTAAGGCCCTGTGCAGGTCCTTGGTCCTCCTCCCACAAGCTGGAAAAGCCAAGGTGGAACAGCAGCACATTTTTGGAAGTCAGCAGTCTCAAAGGTGTGAGGAAACGTGACCATCTCAACTCGGCTTGCTCCGAGCAACCCTTGCCAGAAGCAGCACTGTCCCAGGCCACCACGGTGCCCTCCTGCCTGCCCTGCACCATGGCACACCCACCACAGAGAGCACGGGGTGGATCCCTAACAGCCAGTGCTTGCTTTCCCCAGCACCTCACTCTGGAGGACACCACGTCGCTCAGTGCCAGAGTCACGAGCCCACCTGCCATTTCTTGTCAAAGAAAACCAACCACAGCCCTGAGCCTGAGCAGCCACCACCTCCTGACCCACACGCTCGGCGCTGCCGACGCGCCGACACGCAGGGAACCTGGGGATGAAGCCTGAACACCTTGATGAAGAACCCTGATGAAGCTGCAAAGCCCACAAAGCTGTGATGGTTCCAGGATTTAGGCATGGATTAAGACCTTGCTGTCCTGGCAAAATAAAATGATGGGGGGTTTTGGTGGGGGGTTTTGGGATGGGTTTTTTTGTGTGTTAAGTAACTGCCGCTTGGCACATTAAAAGCTTTGTCCTCGTTGTCTCACAAGAGGAAAGCAGGAAATTTTTAGGGCTGGCAATGTGGGTACCCTGGCTATTCAGGTGAATATTAGAAAATTCAAGCTGGGGAAACAAAATATAATGATAGCAAAGGAAACATCAAGAGGCAACTATATTTAACTAACTGGTGTGAATAAAATAAAATAGATTTTAGAACAAAGAGAGAGAAAGGCAAAAGAACAAAGAGTCCAGAGGGGGATTACAGCAGATCCTGCCTGTCCACCAAAGGACTCCACAACTCCTTTGAGGCACCCAGAGATGTTCAGAGAGCAGCCACATCCTCCTACAAGTGAGAGGCACCAATGCACTGTTTTGTGGCACTGAAAGTCTCCTCATTCCCTTCTTAAAGAAACGAAGCCCCCTACGTCACCCACTGCTAAGGACGTTAGCACAGGTCACACCAGAGACTGCTCACTGCTCTCAGAAGCACGAGTCAGCCCCAGGCTCAGCCTGGACCCACCTCTTTGCTTCAGCTGTCACCACGGATGATCTCCAGGAAAGCTGCTCCTGACCCAGGCCAGGCAGTGGCACTGCCCTGGCTGAGCAGGACTCCCCCACCACACTGTGCTGTGCTGGTCCCTGGCTGCAGCACTGCACAGCCTGGGAGCCACGGGGGCTTGTTCCCTTGTTATCATAGAGTCATAGAGGTTGGAAAAGACCCCTAAGATCAGCAAGTCCAACCACCCACCCAACACTCCCATGACCACTAAACTGCCATGTCTACACATTTTTTTGAGCCCCTGCAGGGCTGGGGACTCCCCCACCTCCCTGGGCAGCCTGGGCCAAGGCCTCACCACTCTGCCAGGAGAGAAATTCTTC